TAAAAGATGGCTTGGACTATCAAGGAGCTTGGTCACCCCTGCTATATGATGTTACCAATATATATCTCCTACCAAAATCTAAGAAATTACTTTCTCAAATACTTGTTCTGGCATGAAATTAAACATCCATTCACAGAAATTTCAGTCTTGATTCAGAATGTTTCTTTGCAAGTTAATATGTCTCTAGCAATTTTCTTAATCGTACAGTTTTTGGGAAACCAATTTTGAGATAATTGAGGTGCTTTTCAAGGCCACACTAGTCTGATTGGTAAATATATATTTACAGGTGACCCTTGGCGAAAATTGGCAGTGCATGGATACCGAGTTTGTGCAAATCTTTGACTTAATTTTGTATTTGTGTAGTGGCAATATTTCACGCAAAAATTGCAGATACACAAAGACAAAATATCAAGTCAAAAAATTGCACAAACTCTGTATCCATGCATACATCGATTTATTTTCATTAAAAAAAAAATCACAGAGTTGCACAAACTTGGCATTGCACACTTCCTTGACTTTGTCCTTGTACACACTGATCTATTTTCACTTAAAAAATCAAAGGAGCACCCAATTCAACAGTAGAGTAGAGTTACAAAAACTACATAATCTCAATAACTATATTTTAAATAAACAATAAAATAACACAAAAAAGGAAATTCATCTTTTGCATGTAAGCACTACACAAAGCAAATATCCACTTACTTATTTAAAAATTTCTGCGTCACACAAAATTCCTGAACAGCATCCAAAAACTTCTTAAAATTATCTGAACTAGAATCCATATATCGGTGTCGCCACATAAATTCACAATAATAAGAATAAAAAATATCCTCCGTAGTGTCGGACTGTCGGTGGCATTTCTTGCATGAACTTTTCTTGTGACAAACCCATCTGAACGATCTTTACGTTTAACATACGCATTTCCTTCTTACAAACAGGACACTTATAATGGCTATTAAGTAAACCTTCATTTATAAACCAGCCAATTAATGCTCTTTTCCCCTTTCGCTACAAAACATACAGAAACTTCAAATTAATCTTACCACATTCAGCCATTTTACCATCTAATCCACAAAACAAGCAATGTACTTCCTACCCAACACACACCACAAGCCCTTATAAATCTTTTACCATCATTAAAAATTTACTGCTATCATGCAACCGATTGCATCATAATAGGGTTTCCATAACATTCAACTACTCAGGTTAACATAAATGAAACAACAACTTTGCGATAATACAAGGGGCACCCTTCAATCTACTCTAACCATCTGATTAAAAGAACTTAAATATTTCTAGATATAAATGTACAGTTTTTTACTCTGTTGTAACAAAAGAATGAAGTAAAAATATGTTTCAGTAACTACTATTTACTTTACTCTTATGCTGATTTTTACTTGGATATACTTCCCTCCTTTGTTAATTTTAATTTATATATACTGAATACCACATCTAACACGATTTTTATTTACATATGTTTAATAAAATGCTTTAATTTATTACACATTTTTTTAAAATAAAATTTGCACTAATATTATGCTTTGTCTGTTAACTTTATGATTAACAGTTTCGTTGATCTTTACATTATGGTAACTTGGCGATTTTTTGGCGAAAATTTGGCAACCAACTCTCCTACAGCAACCCTCTATTTTTTTTCCCCTCCGCCATTTTGTCTTCACGAAGTAAAGACATGTTTCTTTCTTCTTATCTACTGAACACTTCTTCCAATAATCTACTAGCCAAATTACACTTATGCTAGAAATTTTAATCAAACAAAACTGCTTAATCATGACAAATATTCACTGCAAAATTGGGAAAAGTGCACAATACCATACTCCTTATGCGTTTTTTCAAAATAAACCACATACACATAAACCATGTACACGCCGACTTATTTTTACTTAAAAAAACATCCCAGAATTGCACAAAAATGGCATTGCGCACACTCTTCACTATATCCATGTACACTGCTTTTCTCATAAATTAGAAAAATTTCACAAAAATACATGACAATTTTCTCAATCTTTAAAACCCGGTAAAAAGAATATATGAAATTACCTGATCGAGAAAAGTATTTATTACCCTTTACAAGTATGAACGTTTCCACATATAAATAAATAAATACCAAAAACTTTTACCTCTAATCATCTATTACATTATACACGTCACCAACGAATTCATACCGCAAGCATTACAAATACTTAGTATCAAATATTTAAATTATTTCCCACGCACGTTTACTTCACTTAAACGTATACCAAATTCCTACAAACATAAAATTCACAAATAACTATCATTTCATTAAAATATATTAAAGGAAATTCAAAAACACTACTTAAAATAAAAGCACATACATTAAATTAATAAAAATTACCTATAATCCTAATTACTTTAAACTAAATCATTGCTAATAACATTTTCCCAATAATACCAATTCTTTCCCTTCCACATTTAGAACAATGCATAAAAATAATATCCTCAAATAATTAAAAAATACTAACTTACCTAATCTTCTTCAGAATCTTGATTACGTGGCAGATACAATTTTTTTTCTAATTCATTCAATAAAATTATGAAGAGTTTTTCTGCGAATTTTTCCTCCGCTAAATAAAAAGCAAACTTCTCTTTATCACAATCCTAAATAACCCATTTGGAATTCACTTTAGTTAGGGCCATGGGATCCAAAATTAAACAACATGTTTCACACACACAGAATAAAAGCTAAATACAAAATTTCCACATTTTTCCCGATTCCCCCCCCTTTTCCGATCAAAGAACCGTAATTCGTCCATTAATATCACATGACATATCCCATGATCTCTCATTTCCCTCACGCAAAATAATGCGTAATCGGAACTGAGTACTGCTCACATTATTACTAAAGTCCCAGGTAGTAACCTTTATCGCCTCCAAAATGTCGCCAAACTACCAGTTACCATATTGTAAAGATCAACCAATAGTTTTTTTAGGCTTAGCAATAACTTATATAATAACTATATATGCATTTAATGGCACTTGAATACTATCACAACCACCTTAGCAGAAGTTGCTAAAAACTCTTAACAATTATTCAGGCAAACGTGTATGACAAATACTCAGTTTCCAACCTTGCCATTTTCGCATGTGCTCTTTTTGCTTTTTTCACATTCCTATGGCTTTACCGAAAAATTACTATAATTGTCTTGTCTTAAAAATAATTTTAAAATTCATGCTTGTGGGATCTGCCTATAATAGAGAAATAGAGGTAAAATTTTTGCTGGAATACATTTTGCCGCAAAATGATTAACAGAATAATAGTTTGAATCATTTCTAAAAGAGACTGCAACAAAAAATAGATACCCATTTGTAACTAGGTTTATTACCTGCATTTTGGGATAAATATATCACTGAAACGTTAAAATATATGTAAACAAATGTAACATATAATATTTTTACAACAAAAGTAATCGTTCTTTTTCTTTTATAAAAATCCATCAACATGGTTGCAATATGCAGCCATTTAACTTACACAAGCTTACTGTCATGTAATTAGCACGGATAACAAGCTAAACCGACTTATTGGTAAAACCCTAGGAGAGCCCACAACCCTTGGCGACAAACTGGGAAAGTGCAGAATCACCCCCTGCTTTGCACGTTTCTCAAAATCTCCAACTTGAAAATAACAAGTACAAAAATTGCACAAACTCGGCATCCATGTACACATCAACCTATTTTCACTTAAAAAAACATCCCAGAATTTCACAAACTTGGCATTCACACTTCCTTGACATTGTTCATGTACACATCGACACACACCATATAAGTGAGCGCACCAAGAGTGTGGGCTCTGCTAGTATCCAACCCAACTTATTTAATATCCTTCATTTTCTGCTTAATATCATGCTTTTTCCTTACTTAATAACTTTTGCTTAAACATTACCGCTAAAAGCATTCCCGATTAAGCGTTGGGGAGTAAAATGCACTGCCACAAGTAGTAATCCCCTCTGCAGTAGTAAAACCAAGGTTAAAAATTATTATTGCTAGGAAACATTAACGGTATAAAAAAAACTTTCTGGAGATACAGTGATCTACCAAAAGACGCAAAGGAAACCCGGATATTTGGAAGCTATATCATCGAAAATACATTTCAGTCTATTTAAAAAAAGCTATGATTAATAAGCATAAAACATACATGCATTGGGAGTATTCATATCTGCATATTAGAAAATGATAATCAATAATTAAGATTTTATTAACGAGTAAAAACTGAACTGACTTCAGAGGGACAAAACAAATTACTATATTACAATCGCATCATATCACAGGTGCAAAGTAACATATATACTTTCCAATTAAAATTTTATCCGTCTTCCCAAACGTTAGATATAAATAAATACCGCAACAGGAGTGGTAGTAGCAATAAAACGTGGTAGTAACAAAACCAAATGCAGGAAATAAATATATAAACCTTTATTTATTAAATATCATGTTTTTTGCCTTTAAACCACATAAAATTGAATTCAAGAGCAAAATCACAAAATATTTAAACAGAGTAGATCTTTAGAATTACCGATAAACATTCTCTCACATAACAGATAAAAATGTTTTTTCGTATGGCTAGCTTTAAAATTGTTCTATGTAATTCAAAATTTGATATCGTAACATTTTCACAGTGCGAAAAACATACATAAATTCATGCAGATTCTTTCTTACTTATTTTCTTTAAATATAATACATGGCGGCTATAATATATGATGGCAAAAGTGACTCAGACTTTTAGATTCAAGGCAAAATGAAGTTTCAAGACTAACGTGCCTTTGGACTAAAAAATCAAAAACAAATTTAAAAATCCTCATTTTATAAAAAAAAAAAAAAAAAAAAAATTCAATTTTCTCTCTACAGATTTACCATAAAAAATATAAACACAAAACTTGCCACATAATTTTAACACAAAGAATTTTACCTATAATTCTAGAGCAACGGCGCGAAATTATACAGTTAACTGTAACCATTATCTTCATTAAGCGATTTGTAAACCGGGATTTTTGTTACCTCGTGTATTGTCGCCATTGGAAATTGTATTCAAAAATTTGCATTTAGCTTGTACTGTGAAGTAATTTGTATTCAGCGAGTTAAAAAATTTCTTTTCAGTTTGGAACTGTGCGAATCATACAGTTAACCATTATCTACACCGAACGATTTAATAAACCTGAATTTTTGCTTATCTTGTATTGTCGCCATTGAGCAAAGTACTGAAAATTTCTGTTCATCTTTTAACTCATTAAAATAATGGGTCCACCAGGATTCACACCACGTGGTGGAGGACGAGGCGGCGGAAACAGAGGTGGATTTCGCGGAGGTCGTGGTGGCGGTGGAGACCGCGGCGGTTTCAGAGGTGGAAGAGGAAGCTTTCGTGGAGGATTTCGCGGGGGTGATCGTGGTGGATTTCGCGGTGGAAGAGGTGGAGATCGTGGAGGCAGAGGTGGAGATCGTGGAAGCAGAGGTTTTCGTGGTAGAGGAGGTGGAAGAGGCAGAGGCGGTGGAGGTCGTGGTGGCAAGAAAACTGTAGTCGAACCTCACAGGCATGAAGGAATATTTATCTCTCGTGGATTACAGGATACTTTGCTTACACTTAATCTTCTACCTGGAGATTCTGTTTATAATGAGAAAAGAGTTACAGTTGAAGATGAAAATGGTAAACATGAGTACAGAACCTGGAATCCTTTTCGATCTAAACTTGCTGCTGCAGTTATGAACGGTGTAGGAGATACACATATGAAAAGAGGATCACGTGTATTATACCTTGGTGCTGCTTCAGGTACTACAGTGTCTCACGTATCGGATATTGTGGGACCAGAAGGAATTGTTTATGCTGTAGAATTTTCACATCGGTCTGGAAGAGATCTTCTCTGTGTTGCTCAGAAGAGATCAAACATTGTTCCTATTATTGAAGACGCCAGAGTCCCAGCTAGATATCGCATGATTGTAGGCATGGTAGATGTTATTTTTTCTGATGTTGCTCAACCTGATCAAGCAAGGATACTTGCATTAAATGCCCAGCAATACCTTAAAGATGAAGGACATTATATAATATCTATCAAAGCCAATTGCATTGATTCAACTGCAAGTCCAGAAGCTGTCGTTGCAAATGAAATAGAAAAACTTCGTGCTGATAAACTTAAACCACTTGAATCGGTGACATTAGAACCATATGAAAGAGATCATACTGTTATTATTGGAGTATACAGACCCCGACCAAAAGATGAAAATGCTGAATAGCAGTTGTAAGTTGAATATGAAAGATGAATATTTTGGGATTTTTTAATAAAATAAATTTTTGTTAAATTTAATTTTTCTTGTATTATTTAACATTTATATATATATTTTTAATACTGTACAAATAATTCAATATTTTAATAGAAATATAGAATTCATAAAGGGTCTAAAAATATTTTGAGTACATGTTTAAAATATACTAGAATGATTCTTAACTTTATAAACTATAAATTGATGTATAAAAAAAAACTTTTGATTCTTATATATTTGTACATAATTTAACTTTTTATTTACCTTTTTCTTTTGATTGTAATATAACTGATGTTCCATTATCTTAGATTTCAGTTCATTCATTTTTTTTGTCACAGAGTTGCATATTATACTGATTTCTCTCTCTGCTTCTAACCAGTCTGAATCAAATAATTTTCTGATTTCTGAAACTTGTTTCTCCCTGAAAACGGTAGAATGAATTACATATTTTATAAATGCATGAATTTAAAGTACATAAAATAGAATGAGAATAAAAGTTATAAAATACTAGTTTATCTTTGTTAAATAAATTTGATTGCTTTAATCTTAGCATATGGTACACACGCAATTAGGCGACAATATTATGAGCTGGAAATGGGTGATTTGGATGTCGCTGACAATTTTCAAAATTGTGCCAAAGCTGTACAGTATACTAAGATTTTACCATTTGATCAAAATATAAAATAACTTTTTAATAAATGCATATTAACTGTTCTTAAAAAATTGATAAAATATGGTCATAATTTCAAATGAAGGCATATGATTCAAAAGACTTAACTGAAATTAGCAACTAATTTTTTGTAGAAATTATTTGAATATCAGCAATTTTTTATTAACAAAATGACAAATTTCTTTCCATTTAAGTCCAGTTTTTCATCAGTAATGAAAAATTCTGTATGATAATTAAGTTTTCCCATTCAGTTGATTAGCACTATTTCCTCCTGTGTTTAACAACAGCAAATTTGAGTTGATATGTAATGAAGTTTTTCATATCAATTTTTATTGATTTAGCTAATTAGTTTGAATGTATTCAATCACTGTAGTAATGCTAGTAAAAAGTTGAGGAATTTCTTTTTATTTTAATGTTAGAAATAAAATTTTATATGAAAGATGATTACTAATGCAAGTGCGGTTGCAATTAAAAATAAAAACGACATACTTCAATAACATTATCTTTTAACTTGCAGTGTTAAGTGAGCTTTATGGTGTGCTACAGAAGAAACTGGGTTTCCCCATTATATAGATATAGAGCTTCAAAAGTCTAAAATAATAAAAAGAGTAAAATTCTAAAGAAAACACCAGTAAAATAATATTTAGATGACCACTTTCCACAATTCATATACTATATACACATTAGCATTCTATGAATTTTAATATCAGTAACTGTATGGTAAAAAATTGCTAGTATGTAAATATAGTGTTGCAGATAGAAAAAGCATATATCAAGTGTTTTCAGTTTCACATATTTTGGATTTTATTGCTTTTCCTAGAATTAAAATTGACAAAGACAGAAGAGTAATTAGTTGAAAATTTGAGGGGTTATTTTATAAAGCTATGTTAAATGTAAGTATGTTTGCTTAGCACTGAAATGAATTTGGATTACCAGTGACAGTAAGAATTTGGAAAACATGACTTCCCTAAAATTATCTGAAGCTTGGAAAGAGAGGAGACAAACTTTGATAATCTGAATTTTTCTTCAGAATTATTGAGTTAAAATAAATAAATATGAATAGTTATCGGTAAAAGTTTACAATTGCGCGCCCCCTTTTTTTTTGGCAATTCCTTTTTAATGCCAGGAAGGCACAGTTTCAAGATGGCCGCTGCACAAAACCAAACTAAGAAGTCGGAGAATTGGACAAATTGCGTGTCCATGTACCCATCGATCTATTTTCACTTAAAAAAATGAAGAAGCTTAAGCAAAGTTAAAACTATCAGGTAACCAGAAATGGGAGTTGAAGAAAACTTGTCTCTAATCAAAGAGAAACCTGATTCTACACTAGAGCATAGTTATTCAAAATGATGTCTGTATACATATATATGAAAATGACTAATAAGAGCTATTTCTGATTGTAAATGCATATTATAGGCATCTTAAAAGACCTTAGTTGCATAACCAAGTCTACTGAGGCATTCATTCTTTTTGTCAACCTATCTTGAGGTGAAATTTCTTTGTGTTTATTTTAGAAAAAGTTCATAAATGTAAAGCATGAAGCCTGTGTAACAGAAATGTACATACATCACTTGCTTTGTAAATATAATATGTACAGCACACTCTAATACCACATTTTATGTACACGACATCACTTCAGATATTTCTTAACATATACCTATAATTCTGAACATCATTCAATTTTTTAAATTACAAAATCTAAAAATCAAGTATTTGTTTTGTCAAGCCATTAGCAAAAGAAATGATATACATATTTTTTGACCCAATTTATAACATTTCAATTGTTTGGGCCGATCATATGGAAAAATAAGAAAAGCAGAAAGTAATAAAAATTGCTACAAGAAAAATTAAATAATTTCCTTATTAAACAAATACTGGAAAAAATGAAGAACATAAATTTGAGTAGAGCCAGTCACTCATTTTGATCATGAGACTAATTGCCATGCTATGCTTTGATTATCGGGACTGGCTTCTGAAATGTATATATGTATATGTGTGTGCACGTACATACATGAACACATACACACATGCATTTCTGAATCTGGTCTTGATAATAGAAGAGATCATGAGACAGAAGAGTACCGTTTACACATTGTGCACACACACCATTTTACTTTTTAATTAGTAATTTTATCTCTATGAAGTAACTACTCGTTTATAATGACTCTACTGTAGATATTTAAAAATTGATTAGCAAATGTGGTTAATGAAGTTGAATTCCAAATAAAGGTAGGGAAATCTTAAATTAATTATTTAGTGATTATTTGTAGTACATTAGTAAGTGTTTATTATTGCTGTCGTGGGTGTATTAATTAAATAAATGGAAGAGAAGTTAGATAGATGAAACGTAAACGTTCCACATTGAGATCGTCTGTTACTAGTTAATTAAAGTGATTGAAGATAAATTAAAATGAAAGGAGAGGGAAAATTCGATTAAAGAATTACGAGAATTGTTTGAATTATTAACCGAAAAGAAAATAATTTGAAAAGCTTGATGAGAATACAAGAGTTAATTGATGTTACTTAATTGAAGAAGATTGTAGTACAAGCGAAGAATAAATGACAAATGTATAATTGCTTGTAGTCAAATTAAGCAGTTTTCTAGGTGCGGTTTACCGCAGTAACCGCCAGCGAGGAATCCCCAAAGTTCTGATTTAACCAGTCTAGTGGTAATGGAATTTTGCATGTAAGTTCCAGTTCTAGGGGGAGTAGTATGCTGAATTACCAAATTAATGATTGATAATTTTGGGGAGACCCCAAACAATGGAATAATTTTGGAATAGTTTCGAAAATCGATACGTAAAAACGAAACGCTTTCAAAAATACAAAAATTTGTATACTTAAAAACATTCTAGGGGACAAGCTTCGAATGTTGTGTCAGGCTTGAGTTAACAGAAAGTAATTATGATAGTTGTGTAGCATTACTAAAGGACAGATATGGTCGAAAAGACCCGATCATTAATTCATTCATGAATAAAATTCTCAATTTAAGAAGCCGTTAAAATTCTGCTAATGTAAAGGCTTACGTAAATTATATGACGAATTAGAAGTTTCGATTCGTATTTGGAACTTTAGAAGTAACTTCTGGCTCATATGGACTTTATTAATTCCAATATTATAAAATAATTCCGGACGATTTAGTTTTGGAATTTAATCGGCAAAGAGATCGAAAGATAAGTTGAAGTTTCGGAATTAACACAATTTATTAAAACGGAAATGGAATGCAGGGAAGTTTCAAATCTAGTATTAAGCGAAAGGAAAAATCCTGTTCCCTCCGCGAGTCAATCAATCAAATATGAAACTAGAAAATATGTAAAAAATACACCCTCGGCTGCATTTCATACTGCAGTTAACCGAAAATGCATCTTTTGTGATAATTTGCACGGTCATTGAAATGCGAAGTGAATGTTTCTGATAAATTAAGAAACTAAGATCCGAAAACCGCTGCTTTTCTTGTTTTAAAAAATTCCATACATCAGAAAGGTGCAAATAAAAACTAAATGTAATAAAGTGGCGGTATGTATCACAATGAATCGATTTTTGTACTAATAAATCCCTTGTAAACAAAAAAGTCGGAACAAGGTTATTCCAAAAATGAAACTGAATCTCTGACTTTGAATTCTGAGGAAAGAAATAAAGTTCAAAACTTAAAATTGATTGCTTCTGTTCCTCAAAGTGATAATAATAATGACTGTAATGCCAGGGAAATATTATTGCAGGCTTGTACAGTTATGCTTGTTCTAGTATAAATCAAAATTAACTAGATTGGTTCTTGATCAAGGCATCACAGATCCTTTATAACGAAAAATTGGCCGCCATTTTAAAAATTACTCCAATCCGTTATGAAAGACTTTCTGTTTATTCATTTGGTGCGACGAGAATGAATCATTCCTATCCGGTTGTTGAAATCGAAATTCAGATTGGAAACAAAAATAATACAAATAAAAATTTAATGTTTGATCTCGGATGTTATTTCCTTGGCGTCCCATCAATGTGCCTAGTAAACAAATTGCAGACTTCATGGAGCATCTGGGGTTGCCAGATCGCCGATTGCTGCTATAAAAAATAACACTAGATGTTCAGATATTAATTGGCGGAGATGAAATCTGGAATGTAGTTTATTCCGAAAGAATTAAAATATCTGAAGGATTGTATACAGTCAGTTCTGTGTTTGGTTGGGTTGCTGTAGGAATTGAGAAAAATAAAACGAAAAAAAATTGTTCTGAAAATTTAGTGGTAATGACAAACACTATTGTGTTGAAAGAATTAAGGGGTTTTTGGGGGAATTAGAATATATGAGAATTAATGATTCTGATGTTTATTCCGATATTGACTTCGAAATAATAGACCAGTTTGAAAGGAATTTACAGTTTA